TGATAGATTTAAAACACTGCCCGGATCTGCAGTATCCTCACAATTGATAGATTTAAACCCATTGCTGGCTGCTGCCCCTGTGCCAATTCATCTCCTTGGGGGGTCTTCCTCTTTAGTATTGACCCTCTGCTTTCCCAAGCTTGATGTTCTCCTCCAGGGATTGGTCCCTCCTGATAACATGTCCCAAGTATGAGAGATGAAGAGTTACCATAGTTACCATCCTGGCTTCTAAGGAGCATTCTGGCTGTACTGCTCTAAACACAGATTTCTTTGTGTTCCTGGCACTGCATGGTACTTTAAGACTCTTCTCCAACACCGTAATTCAAATGCAACAATTCTATGGTCTTCCTTCTTCAGTGACCAAGTGTCACATGCATATGGGGTTACTGAAAATGCCATGGCTTGGTGTTTAATCCTCAAACTGATATCTTTGATCTTGAACACTTAAAATAGGTTTTGTGCAGCAGATTTGCCTAATGCAATAAATCTTTTTTTTTAATGTTTTATTGTGAATTATATGATAGTTTACATGAGAGAACCTCAGTTCCACATTAATTCCATCGTACATCATTATATTGCCATGGTTCCAATCCCCTCCATGCATCGTCTTCCAACCAAAGGGCATATCCTAGAAGCCCGTGCTCTACACTCCCCTCTTCCCCCTCAGTCTTTGGCCCACAGTTCCTCTCCCTCTCTGGATCCAAACTCCCCAGCCACTTCATCCCTCCACGTCATCATCTCTGTCTCCATCTCAGGCATCCCTGGTTCTCTGGGTGGGGTCCCGTTCTTGGCTCTTATCCGTTGGTGGTCCCAGAGACCTCTGCTCCTAGACTGGAGAAATAATAGCTCTCTTCCTTGCTACAAAACATCCACCCCTGCATCTCCAACACATACAATCTGTCCTGATAACCATTATTCACTACAGTATGGCACGTAACCCATCTGTATTTCATTTCGTCCGTTCCACCTAGACAGATTGGATACTACTCACTGGTGATTCTGCCTTCCTCCATGCCCCCTAGCTCTAGGTTCCCTCTTGAAAGCTTGTAAGCCAGTTACTTCTTGCCTTTGTAGTCCCTCCCTCCCCATTTGGGTATCCAATGTCCAAGTTGCCCCTCTCTGTCTACTCTGTGTGTGGAGGGAGTGGGAATGTTTCTTGCTGTAAGGATTTGTTGCCTCTTTTGTGTCACTGCATTCGTAGGCATAGGTTAAGTTCATCAGCTTGGATCAGCTCAATCTTCTTTCCCCACAATGCAATAAATCTTCACTGCTGTTTCCATATGTGTTGATCCAAGCAAAATGAAGTCTTTGACAATACTTCAATTTTATCTCTATTTATCTTGATGTTATTTATTGGTCCAGTTGTGAGTATTTTTGGTTTCTTTACACTGAGATACAATCCACACTGAAAGCTGTGGTCTATGATCGTCACCAGCAAATATTATAAGTCTTTTTTGTTTTCTGAAAGCAAGGGTTGTATTATCTGCATATCGCAGGTTGTTAATAAATCTTCTAAATCTGCTGGCATGTTCTTCTTCAAATAATCCAGCTTCTCGGATTATTTACTGAGCAGACAGCCCTGGCATGCACCTTTCCTGATTTTAAACCATTCAGTGACCACTTGTTCTATTCTAACAACTGTTTCTTGATCTACGTACAGGTTCCTCATAAGCACAAGTTAAGTGTTCTGAAATTACCATTCTTTGCAATGCTATCCATAGCTTGTGACAATGTACACAGTTTAAAGCTTTTGTATAGTCAATAAAGCACAAGTAAACATCTCTCTGGCACTGTAGGATAAGCACTGGACTGCCAACCACAAGGTCAGTGTTTCAAATCCACCAGCTGCTCTTTGGAAACCCTATGTAGGGACTCTATGAGTTAGAACTGACTCAATGGCACTTAACAACAACATCTATTGGGTATCCTGTGCTTTCAGCCAAGATCCTTGTGACATCAGCAGTAATATCCCTCATTCCATGTCTTCTTCTGAATCCAGCTTGAATTTCTGGTAGTTCTCTCTCAGTGCACTGTTGCAACCATTTTTAAATTCTTTTCAGCAAAATTTTACTTGC